GCTATTTGAAAAGCAGTACATTTTATGGCCCTGTTTGTAGAACTGTGAATTAATATGTGCTCATAGCCTAAGGCCAAAATATCCCAGTATGTGGAAAAGTCTTTTAAAAAGCTATGCATCTATCACTGTTTTCTAATGTTTCGTGGTAATTTGCATTCACCAGGGAATTAAATGGATCTGTGATACAAATTTAAGTTAATTTATTCAGTAAGTAATGGCATGTCTTTAGAGAATTCAAAGTGATCAAAATAATGGCAAGCCAACAAATCTTTTGATGATCAGCATGGAAATGAATGTAAAAGACCTGGGAGGAAACGAAGGTGCTTCTTACTGGTTGTTCCCAGGAACACTTCAGACATTATTTGAAGTCCTGTGCTGTCTGTATAAGTGAAAGTCATGTCAAAATCAAGAACAGGAGAAACAACTTGAGAAATGTCTTTAAAAGCATCTAGTGGGAGAAGAAAGAAAATGGAATAATCATTATAACCAGGGATAACCGAAGTTAATACTTTTGAGATTCCTCTACTAAGAATTATGTTTAAAAATCCACTGTGAATCTGTTTCTGAAAGATTTAGATGTCTCCTTTATTGCTCAGAAATGCTTTTGTAAAAGAATGAATGTTTCCAAAATGATCAAAATTGTCAAGTTTTACTACAATGCTGAGCAACGATACCTAGGTGCCTTCCATAATTTGTAAATTCATTCACTAACTCTTCTGCTAGTCTTGGCACTTCCATCTTTGGGTTCTCAGGGTTTGAACACACAAGGCCAACACAAAGACTTGGTTAAAGGCAGATATTCTAGGACACCACAATTCTACTAAATGTGGGTAAAGACTAGAATCTGTATTATTTATTTATTTTTATTTTATGTGTATGAGTTCTGCCTACATGTATGAAGTATACCACAGGCATGCAATGCCTGTAGGGGTCAGAAGACAGTGTTGGATCCCTTGGGACTGGAGTTGTTAGCTGCCATGTGTGCTGAGAACTGAACCCGGGTCCTCTGGAAGAGTAGCCAGTGCTCTTAACCACAGAGCTGGTGGATCGTAGGCCACATCTCCACAGACAGAACGTTGGCTCCATTTCTGTTGTGGGTTCTGAATTCACACTTTTATTTGGGAGTGAGGGTTGATTGGACACAAACTGAGCTCTCATTCATCTTCTTTTTCATTAGCATGAACTCTTACCATATCCTTATGTCTGGCAGTGCAGAGTAAGTGTAGAAAACGGTTTCTGACTGTGAGAAAACCCTCTCCAAATAATCTTTAAAATAAGAATTGGCCGTTTGAGGATCTGTTCCTCAGGGGTCACATGGGCTTGGGAGGAGCCCCTGGCTCCTTTCTTTTACCAGTTCCGCCTATGTGAAGATAAGTCAAAGGTTTGGGCCAACTGTATGGCCTTAAACACCCAAAAGGAAAGTATAACCAAAGATTAAAGGGGTCAATATAACTTTTTAAGGGTCCATATGTGTAGCTAAAGGCTACATAACAAGCAACAATGCCAGATAGGAGATACCTTCTTTTGAGTTGTTAGCCAGGGTGGCCCAAGGGATTCCCGGCTAGTAACCCAGCATAGAACTGGGAAAATGAACAGCAGATCCAATCTTATCTAAAGGAATATTGACAACTGATTGCTTCTAGATGAGGAACAGCTGACCCTTCTAAAACAAAGACCTTTAAATAGGCTGACTAGATTCACCAGATGGACAAGCAGTGGGGAACGGCTGGGGGTTCCAACAACACGGTGGACAGTAGCAGGGATAACAGAGTATAAGGGCTCTAATGGGGACAGGGAGGCTATGGGAGGGTACCATCTGGGAAGTAGGTGTGTAGTTGAATAAGATTGTTTGGGATGTTCTGTGTGATCACCCCCCCCACACACACACACAATCAAAAAATTTAAAAAATGTATTGTATTTGAGGAGGAAGCATAAAAATTTATGTTATGTTAATTAGTAGAGATGATAAACATTACCACTGAAATCTACACGATGACTTTACAGACATACACAGGTGCCAAGGATCCGAGTGCAACAGATTATGACTAGTAATAATCAGATACATACAGAAATGCATGTGCCAACATCTCAGTGTTATTAGCAAAAACAATGAGTCTTTAAGAAACTATATTTTAAAATGGAGATTTTTTCTAAAGGTTAAAAAGCTCATTCAATTTTATGTCTTACAGGGCTTATACTGAGTTCAATATTGTATAACTGTATTAATTCAACAGCAAACCTAAAAATTTTATAGCCACTTTTGAAAGAGATGTATCTTTACTCTGGAAACCGTTATTGAGTATGTTAAAGCTGTAATCAAATGCTTCTTCTAAAAAAATATTAAAAAAAAAAGAGTTGGAGGGACTGAAGAGATGGCTCAGTGATTAAAAGCATTGCCTGCTCTTGCAGAAGATCCTGATTCGGTTCCCAGCACCCACATAGTGGCTAACAAACATCAATAACTCCAGTTCTAGGGGATCTGACACCCTCTTCTGACCTCCATGGGCATTGTATAACATGGGTACACTTACATGCATGTAAGCGATACACTCATAGACATAAAATAAAAATAACAAAAACACTAAAAAAGGAGTTGGAGGGCATGCTGTCTGGATTACCACATGGTTCTAATACTTTAAATGCATATCTGATGCTGACTCATGTATTGGCTAGTATGGATGGATCGAGCTTGGAAACAACGGACATTGGTCTTTGGACCATTCAATCAAAGTGTTTCAGTAAGATTCCCAATGTGACCCTTACTTTCAGGCAGCACCCAGGAAGCTGTAGGGCAATAAGATATAAACTCCATGTTAAATGAAAAGGTTTGTTTAGTTTTCTTAAAACTGTAAGCTACTGTGTACATATCATTATCAGAAATTAGATGTAGTGCCAAGCTGCCATTTCTGTGTGGATGGCTAACAAGAAGTATAAATAAAAATCATGCTTAGAATGGGTCCGCCATCAGAGTAAATGCAACTGATTCTGTTTATATTACAAATAACTGAACTCAAAGGGCTCCCACTGACTAAGTCTATGTTAGGTATAAAACTAATTCCTGGGCTGGAGACATGGCTCAGTGACTAAGAGCACTGACTGCTCTTGCAGAGGACCCGGGTTTGATTCCCAGGACCCACATGGTGGCTACGAACCATCCTTGACTGCAGTTCCAGGGGAATCCAAAGCCCTCTTCTGACCTCCGCAGCATTGCATGACACGGGTGCACTTACATGCATGCAGGCAATACACTCATACACATAAAATGAAAAAAAAAAAACCCACAAAAACAAAAACTAATTCCTTTGGCTGATGATACTCAAAGTTACTATACTAAAAATATTCTGTAGGAGGCAAGGACTGTGAGACAGTCATGTAAAAGTGCAGTTGTTTTTAGAAAATAAAAGAGGGTGAGGAACAAAGACTGATGGGGAATGCTATTCTTGTTTGTCTGATTAGGTGCTAGGTGAGTGAAACAAGAGTGTGGTGATGAATGGGTTACATGAGGCATCCAGGTAACAAAGAGGGCAGCCACAGTGTCTGAGAAAAGCTTCAGGTAAGATTTCCAGACCTAGGCTTTCCAGTAATTGTGGAGATTTCCCTGAAGCTTAAGCTCTCTTTTTTTCCTTAGCCTCTCTGAAACCCCAATCTTGCTACCCTAAATTTATGGACAATTGAGAATTTAACTTTTTATTTAATTTTAATTTTTATTTTTTTATTTTGGACAGGGTCTCTCTTGTCCCAGCCTGCCTGGAACTCACTATGTAGACCAGGCTGGCCTTGAACTCACAGAGATCCGCCTGCCTCTGCCTCCCAAGTGCTGGGATTAAAGGCATGTGCCACCACGCTCGGCTGAGAATGTAACTTTTAAGGAACACAATCACATGCCATTTAGTTTCAGGGTGAGTGGAGTGGGGCTAGTATGGCCTTTTTGACTGGATCATGAACTTAAGAACAAGCATCACACTTTCTGAACCATTTCTGACACTAGGATCCTGCCTCTACCTTGCATGTCCTGTTGTTGAATTTAAGTGAGATTCCTACTAAGATGATCTGATTAACCAAAGGCTATGGATGCCAAATCAGTTGCAATGTAGTTTTTAATGGGAAAGGCTTCCTTGTCAAGGTTCCTAGGTATGGTATGTAATTGTTATTAGGATTGCTATTTTCATTTGCAACCATACACACTCATTTCTCTACACACACAGAAGCGTCTCTAAGTGCAGAAAAATGTGACACAGGAGGAGATATAGTAAAAGACTTTATTCACAATAGAGAAATTTTACAAATATAATTTTAAAAAATTATGTGTCAATCTATTATGTTTCCCATAACATTAGAGATTTATATAAAGTTGGAAATGACAGAATGGACTTATGAACAAATCAAAGACAATAAATGTAAAAATGGGTAATACACATGAAAAAGTCCTGATAAAGAAGTCATTGAGCTCTATAAATGGGCATGTAACTTATATGTATAATATTAATTACACAAAGTATATAAAAACATATTGCATAAACACAAAATTAAGAGCTATTTTAGTTGTTTGCATTTAAGGATGTGGATACATATATAAATTCAACTACACAGTTTTGTTGAAAATGAATGAGAAACAATGTCTACTTAGAGATTTCAGTTGTTTAAAATAATTAACACAAAATATAAGCTTAATTAAATTACATTACTATAATAAACTCTTATCTTGTTTACATTTTTGGTGCTTTGGACTTATTAAAAAAATACAAGTTTTACAGTTGAAGAAACTACTCTTCCCATTGGCAGAACATGTGGTGCAGTATCCTGTCTTCTTAAATCAGGCTATAAAAAGTATTTTATCAGAGCGTAGTACGCACACATGACCTGATTTTAATACCCAATCTGCTGCAGAAATACCAGCTTTGTGTGCTCCTTCAAATGAAATTGAAATGCAAAGAAAATGAATTAATTCAAATAGCTCATCTAGGACATTAATGCAAAATTATAACCAAAATACATGTGGCCCAATTTTGGCAGTACTTTTTAATATTTTGTTTACCTTAGAGTTTTTTTTGTTTTTTTGAAAAATGTCTTTTATTTGCTCATTCCTCCCAAAGTAAGAGAAAGTTTTGCAGGCCAATCAAATTGTTATTAAGAGGTTATTGGTGAACTAGTCTCAGTTTTAAGAAAATGATATTACAATTTCCTGAGCTTCAGATAACAGACCACAGGCAGAAGTTATTTTGGGTCAGAAATTCATTAACATGGCTATAATGGTCTGCTGAGGGACCTTTTACATTTACTAATTTTACTATTTTACTTTTGACATATTCCAATGCACAACATTAAAAACAAAACAGGCCACACAAAGGTAGTCAGATCAAATGAAATCATTTGAAACATTTTAAAAGCAGAAACAGTTAAAACTATCGTCTACTGAGATCAAGAAAATAAGCATCCCAGAAAATATAAGTTGAATCATAGGAAACTGATGAACTCAGAAAGTTTGAAAACTGTAAATGCAAAGAAATATATGCTTCAACTGAATCCATGGGGTTGTACTGTTTTTTTCCGACCATACTAGGTTGAAATTGAGGTGGTCAGAGTTTTTGTCCCTTGACTTTCTAAAGAGCCAGTCCGATAATGCAAGCTATCACCAAATCTATTCCTGGGAAAAACATTCACATTTTGAAATAAGGTTTAGAAGAATCATATAATCATTTTGATCTGCTACAGATCAAATTATGAGGAAGGGTGTCCAGTCCTATAAATTATGTCTAAGATACACTCTTTATGTTGAATGTAACCATACTAAATATACTATATTCTTAAGTGCTAATTTGGTTTTCCTTAGTGGACCATGATTAGGTGCACTGAAAGTTTCTTTCACTGGGTCAAATCTTGCTTTCACCAATTGAAGTGAAATAATTTCCTACCTCTGGGAAGGCCCTTTTCAAATCTGAACCAAGTGAAATGCCTTCTTTCCTTAAAAAAAAAAAAAGGTCAAAGATGAAATGTAAACAATGAATCAAAAATCATATGAAAGTCTCATGCTCTCTCTAGAGACCAGATTTCTTTATGTATTCAGTTAAAAGCAAGAGCTGGCACATTAAAGTTACACTGTTTCCCTTTGAAAAATGTAACATGGTGATAGTAAAGCTCTGCAAAACTTGAGAGCTCACCCTGCTGTGTAGTGAGGAATGGAATAAATTAAGCAGTACGTGATTCAGAGAGGATACAGGATGTTTAAAGTGAAAGTAGAGAACAAATTCAAAAGTTACAAAACACTAATATAATTAACCAACAAAAATATACTGCGCTGCAGATGAAATGAGGTCAACATGAGATGATTCTTTTGGGATGACCTACTCATCTGAATTGCAATGTGCGTGAAGTACTTTAGACATTCTATCGAATAATGATAGACCCGCCTAAGGTGGCTGTCACAGTTATAAGATCTGTCTCTGGTGGATAGACAAACCCGATTAATGTGAAATTGAAAAGGAAAAAGCTTTTTTTAATACTTAATTTATTATTATGGCTTTTTGCAACATGGCAAAACATTACAGCTTAAAGCAGACATCATCTCCTCATAGAGGAGGAAAAAAAGTTTTGCAGTCAAATCAAATGGTAATTAAGAGGTCGTTGGTGTACTATTCTATCCAGTTTCATGAAAATGACATCCATCTTCATGAACTCTAGAGATAATAGATCACATAAAAAAACTCAACAGACAAACGAAATCTGTGGCTCCAGTAGCTGGATATTAAAAGAATAAGAAATTTAGGTCCACTTATGCTTAAGATAATCAACATAAAAGACTGCAAAACAAACTCAGAACTTAGGATAATCACAGACTTTTATCAAGTGATAAAAGTTTGTCATGTGTCTGATTACCAGAAAGGGAATTATTAAGGTATGCAGTGAGGGGAATGAAGCAGAGTGAATATAAAATATATTTTATTTCTCTTTGACTTCAACTGGCTTTTTATCTTCACGGAGTATCGGGAGAGGGTGCGCCTCAGTGTTGAAGATCCAGTGTTCCAGTGGAAGAAGGTCGTCATCGGAAAATATTAAGTACAGATACCTGGTGAGATAAAAATCAGGATATGAGATGCAAGAGACCAAGACATATCTGTATCTGCATTCATCTATGGAGAACCATGGACAAGAGTCAATTCTACGAGAGCCCCGTGGGGTATGGATGGAGATATACATATATCCATACTGCTAACCTGGTGCAATTTGTGTATGGGTACTAGTATACGAGAACCACACAAAGAAGTCAGCAGACTCAGCAATGACTGGAGACACACCTGCATGGAGACCGATGTTTGGAATCAGTCACACTTGGTATAATCTGAATGGGTTCATCATGAAGATACCTGCGGAGAAGATCTACTCAGGGACCTCAGGCACATACTTTCTGTAATTTTCACTTACTTTAGTGTCTCCGCCAGGAAGAAACTTTGCTGGACATCATCATAACTCTCATTAACAAAGTAAACATCCTGCAGGCCTGAGTAGCCTCCATTCACTCTGCAGTGATTTTCTAGGGCCTGAATTACCAAGATGAGGGGAAAAAATCAGAAAAATGATCATCAATAACTTTATTAGATTGTCAAATATGGATGATAAAAATTCAGAACAATTCAAACAATGAGTTTTTGGTAGAAAATTTAAAAACAATACAATAGAAAGATAAGTATAATGTAAAAGCTACAGGACATAAAAACCACATAGCTTTCCAAACAGGAAAAACACTTGGTTTTGGAAAAGTTTCCACCGATTTCTACCATTTCTGCTTTTACTCTAGAGTAGGGTTTGACAAATCAAAGACCACAGGCTATATTCAGTCCATTGTTTACTTCTGTAAATAAAGGGTTATTGAACCACCTTTGCTTACATACTGTCTGTGGCTGTTTTTGTATCGCAATGGTGGAGGTGAGTAGTGTTGGTAGAGAGCCTAGTTTTGTTGGACTTTACAAGGAAATGTGCCGATCTTGGCCTACAGAGGCTGCCAATGTCAACTGGGACTGTTAATACTGGTTAAGAAAGTGCACTAGGCCCCAAACAGCTGCTACTAGAATGAGAACAACTTAACTGTATCTCCTCCAAGAAGTCCTTTGGGCTTAAAAAAAGTGGATTACAGGTTACTCTCAATGACACTGGTGACAGAGGCCAGAGAAGAAAACAGAGGGTGAGAAAATTGCCCTGGAATCCATTCCAAAACCATGTTTTTCCTTTAATATAATATAGAAGAAAATTGGATGAATTCACTGATCATCCTAGAAGTTTAGTGAGAAACAGTCTATAGCTATGCGGACATAATGAGTATTTAGAAAATACTGGAGAGATTGCTCAGCAGTTAAGAACACTGGCTGTTCTTGCAGAGGACCCAGGTTCGAATCCCAGCACCCACATGGCAGCTAACAACTGTCCATAACTCCAGTTCCCGGGGATCTGGCAGCCTCTTCTGTCCTCTGTGGGCATTGCACAACACGGTTGCACTTACCTACATGCAGGCAATACATGCATACACATAAAATAAAAATAAATTAAAAAGAAAAAGAAAAAAGAGGATGTGGGGATGAAATGTATGTAAAAGCTTAAAGTCTCTGCCTTCCACTTTGCCATCTGCCAATAGATTGACTATTGTTTGTAGGTTTTCCTTTTCTCTCCCAGAAATCCTCTTTTTGTTTTTCTTTTATTTTTTCCAGTTTTAATGATATGTTGTTGACAAATAAAAACTATATACATGTAAGTCGTGCAAATGTGGTGCTTGATACATGTACACATTGTGAAATGATTACCACAATCATACTAGTCAACACATTTATAACT